TCAAAAAAAAAAAAAAAAAAAAAAACAACTTTCTACTTTGTTTAACCTACAAGTTGTACCTATTAAATAAATATTTAGGATTAAAACAATGGCAAAATTAACAATTAAAAATAACACTAAAATACTTGTTATTAAGGGTATACACAAAAGTAAAAAGCAAGTTATTCACTGTTTTGACAGACTCAGAAAAAATCTGATTATATCAGTCATAACATTAAGGCATTTCTCCTTTGGAGAAGTGAAGAGAAAGGACCAGTTTTAGTTCTTGGCAAGGAATGTAAAGCTAAGCAATGATTGACAAGACTGCAAAAACCAGAGTGCAGCTAATCAAGACACTCTTAGATCCTCAGTTTAATACAGGTACCTGTAAGGAATCGGCAGTGCTAAAATATGAAGCATTCTCATTTTGGGGGGGAGGTAAGCATAAAGAGCTTTTTAAAAAACTGTGAAATCTTGTGTGTGTGTGTGTGTGTATGCATACATGTTATGTGTTATGTTCTATGTCTACGTGGCAAAAGGCCTTAAGGAATTCCATTCGATTTATTAAAAGAATGCTCATATAAATTAATTTACATGCTTTTCAAGCTCATTTGACTTAATAAGGCAGTCTCACATATGATAAAAAAAAAGCTTTAATAGGTAAAGTTCTTCACAGTTTCTAACATATACTTTGTTCAGGTTTATTGATCAGACCATATAATAAGGCTTAATATGGTGGTTTAATAAAACGGCTGATATTTAGCTATGCTCTACCTAATACGTTGTTTACTTGCTGCGAAGAATCCTTACCCCTGACATACCGTTTAATGGCTAAGTGAGTAGTTTGCTGTGAAGGAAACGGACTGCAACGCTGCTTGCCGAGGGCACGCCCGAGTCCACTCCGAGGACAGAGCCTGGCGTCAGCTCGTTCCCGGAGATTCCACCCCACAGCCCAGAGGCGGCGCTGGGAGCAGACCGGCCGCACGGCGAGGGCAGCAGGGACCAGGCATGGCCCACGCGGCGCCCCCTCACGCCTGGCACAAAGAGCTAAACGAGTCCCAGCGTCTCCACCACGAGCCCACAGACTCCCGTGTAAAGTGGTACCAAAACATGCCGACGTTCGGTCCAGTCACCGTGAGGCTGCCAAAGTCAGGCCCAGGAAGAGGGGCACACCCGGGCGCCGTGTCACCGTCTCGCGTCGGTCTCCGCCTCTCCCCGCAGGCCCCGGCCGCGCTCCCAGGGTGCCCCGCGCGGCGGCGGCGGACTCCATTTCCCAGCGGCCCCCGCGGCCCTC